CATCAGGGACAATGTCGGCTTCTAATGGAAAAAGAATTTTTCAAATCGGTCCAGTAGTTTCGGAGCCTATTCGAAACAAACAAACAAACAAATCTTTCCTCTTTATAATATTAGTATAGATTGTATACAATAAAGAACACAAAATGTTTTTGTACACAGAGATGAGTATTCTACAAGCATTTTAATGGAGCTTAGTGTAATGAGATAAATTGTGATTCAAATTGCTGTCCCATTCTTTCAATCGGAACCCTTAACTTAGTCGTGGCAGTAATAGTCAGGATTTTGGATATTTTTTTTTATGATTGAAGGATTACTGGTGGCCCGGAGGCCTTTCCAGTTTCACCAGAACAGGTGGGCGAGCAAAGGCTCAGCCAGGAGGGGTGGGATTTGCTAACAGCTACCCGAGCGCCTTCGAAGGAGACCTAACAGCTCCAGAGTAGCTGCTTCGCGAATGAATCTACTACCGGATCGGAATCGCGACCCGCTGAGAAGATCCGGCGAGAAACTCAGCGAGCTGATTCGTGGGTTAGGTTACACGGCGAACTCTTTGTCGAGTTCGACGAGTACGGTTACCGAGGTCCCTAAGCCTGCTCCTAGTGTTAGAGCTGAAGGCGTCTAATGCAAAGGTTATTGGATCTGATGGATCCGTAAGGACGTGTCTAGGGCGTCGACGGTGACTGGCTCCTGCGTGATCAGGATTCGAGGAGTAGTCAGCGGCGGCAACGATAAGGCGATTATCATGACGCATAGCCTTATCGAAGTACCGTTCCGACGCTGGCTTCATGTATTTCTGGACAGGATTTTGGTATCTCCCCATGCGGGGCTACAATAGGCCCCAACACTAATAAATGGTGGTTAACGATTGCAATATTCTATACTGTTCTAATATTCTTATACCCACGGGAAGAGATGAGTGGTGCAATTCTAGGCCAACGCCGCACAGGCTAGATTTCTAGCGTTTGCTAGAAAGAAGCTCTGAGAGAAACACTGGACGCTGGTATAACACTCATGACCACGTATCTCCCTAGAAATGCACGCATGCGATCAGATACGAATGAAAAAATAACATTGAACAATTTTAAGTAACTATGCCAGGTCTTACTACTTAAATAATATTGCCTTCCACTAGAGATATAATAAAAGTAATGTACGCAGCTAATCTAAAACATTATTCGGTGCACGTAGACCACAACGTAGACGCTTCGCGCCAGCGATTTAATGGGTTGCTCAGAAGAATTAAATACTCAAAGCTTTAATGCGTAATCAGTAAATATCGTAGTCGTAAATTTGTAATCAGATTTTTGTTAAGCGCATTCAGAATGACAAAATTTGATGAAAATATCTTAAGATCCCGTTTAAATTATACGCGCAGTTCGCAGTGAACAAAGTTACTGCAGTGAGTAAAATCATCTAAAAAAGGACCAATTTTAATGTTTGACCGATATTTGGGTTTTAGGAATATATTTTTAGCGTTGATTCTTTATATATAACTTTTTTATCGTGTGTTCTATAAGCCAATGTGAGTACTGGTGTAATAGTAGATTTGTTTAGCACCTCGAACACAGAGTTCGTGATCGCAATGTATTTTGTAAAATGTTTTTTTTTTATTGCTTAGATGGGTGGACGAGCTCACAGCCCACCTGCTGTTAAATGGTTACTGGAGCCAATAGACATCTACAACGTAAACGCGCCACCCACCTTGAGATATAAGTTCTAAGGTCTCAAGTATAGTTACAACGGCTGCCCCACCCTTCAAACCGAAACGCATTACTGCTTCACGGCAGAAATAGGTAGGGTAGTGGTACCTACCCACGCGGACTCACAAGAGGTCCCACCACCAATAATTACGCAAATTATAATATAATTTTGCGGGTTTGATTTTTATTATACGATGTTATTCCTTCACCGTGGAAATCAATCCTGAACATTTGTTGAATACGTATTTCATTACAAAAATTGATATCCGCCCGAGATTCGAACACCGGTGCATCGCTCAACACGAATGCACCGGACGTCTTATCTTTTAGGCCACAACGACTTCATTGACTCGATTGTAAGGAGCATTTTTTTATTACTTAGAAGGATCGAGCTCATAGCCAGCTTTGGAGTTAAGTGATTACCAGGGTCCATTGACATCACTACGTGAAATCCGCCGCAGCCGTTGAGACATGAGATTAAAGTCTCAGTAGTACTGTATAATACCTGTTCAGGCGCCTGAAAATATTCTGTGTGTTTTTTTTACAGCACAAACTCAGCACTGTGACATTAAAAGATTATTATTATTATTAAGCATATTTTACGAGCTGTTTGACACGTTAAAAATATACGTTCTGAATTTTATCCAAATTTTCTTTTTAAAGCCAACTGCGCTGTATTTCCTGATCAATACTTACCCCTCCCTTCAAACCAAAAGGCATTCCTGTTTTGCACAAACAGGCAGGTTTCTAACCATGCGAAGTCACAAGACGACCAATCACTAGTAATTATGCAAAATAATATTTTTGTGGATTTAAATGTTATTACTCTATGTTATTCCTTCTTTGCAAAAGTGAAAACGTTAGAAGAATACTTAAAGTCCATTTGTTCATTTCTCTATTTTATTCGAAAGTAGAATAAATGTTAAATTTAAATGCTCTGTGTTTGTCCATCGCCGTGCCTCGCCACGTGCAATCGTGTTCTCATCACTGCTCTCATGAATAATTTAATGGGAAAATGTTTGACAGACTTGACGTATTTTTATAGTTCATTAGTTTCATTCACAAAATATCTGTTATCCTTATTTTCGCTACGAAGATATGTACTATATATTTTATTATTATTAATTTTATTATATTTGTTTATTTGTCATAAAAGTTCATGAATTTGTTTTATCCTATTTTATTTTCGTTAAAAAACTGTTGGTAGGGCGTGTAATGGTCGTAGGGCGTGTTATGAAGACACACGAGTAGCACCACCACCCTGTCTACTTCTACCGTGAAGGATTAATGCGTTTCGGTTTGCAGGGTATGGCAGGGTGTGTTCAATTATATTTTTGGAGTTTACAAAAAAAAAACAAGAATTTTGGATTGAGCCACTTCAATTTTAAAGTTTATTTATTTATTTATACTTTATGCGCAAAACAAAAGTTGTACACAGGCGGACTTAATGACATGGGCATTCTGTTTCAGTCGACCATAGGGTGGTGCAGAGATAATGCACGGTAGGTGCATTAACAAAAGAATAACAAACAACAACAAAAAGTTAATTAAACATCAACAAAAAACAAAAAAAGGGCAAAATCAAAACAAAAATCTTCCTTAAAGTAACATCTCAGTATTATAGAATACGCATAATGTTGTTATATTAATTAATAAAGTTGGGAAATATAGGTAAGTAATCAGCGTAGGACTGGTCGTTGTGGCGAGGTCTGGGAGAGCCCTACGAAGACGTCCAGCAGTGGCAGCAGTGGACGTCTGTGAGGTCAAAGATACATGCATGGATAGATACAGTTGAAGTTCCATATAAGATATATGTTCCGTAAATATGCCGCGAGTACAGAAATCGATCATACCCATACCTGCGGACCGAACGGTAAACAGTCGAAGTCGCCCTAAGCACGTCATTACGGATCTTCCTGATCCATTAACGCTTTTTGGTAACTTTGCTTTTAGGTACCTCAAGCGTCGATCACCGTCCTTAATTTAACCCATCGACATAACCCACTGTGGTTCTCGTTGGATATTCTCAGTGGGTCGCAATTCCGATCCGATGGTAGATTCTGCGAGACACTGCTCTTGCTAGGACTAGTGTTAGCAAATCCTCTCAGGTTGAGCCCGTGAGCTCACCTGTCCGTCCACGCATAGCTTTTATTATTAGGCTGTCAGCGAATAGGTAGGAAAAAAAATTCTATAAAACTAAGACTTAGAACTCATGTCTCAAGATGGATGGCATCATTTACATTGTTTACGTGTATGGCCTCCGGTAGCCACTTAACACAAGGTGGACCGTGAGCTCGTCCACCCATCTAAGCAATAACAAAATTAGAAACCGTAAGATTAATGAGTTTTAGCAATGATAAGCTTAGTAGTAGGTAAGTATTTATGATACGTCTCTGTAAGTTGAGCTTTACTAATAGATTTAAATTTAATAATAATACCTAATCGTCAGTAATAATCGTATTATTTTTGACATTACGTAGACTATTAGTGTTTTTTTTTGTTACAGCTACGTACTTACTGCCAACAACAATTACAATAATAATATACGTCTAACAGTAGTCACGAAGAGCGGCTGTGTTCCCTAACATTTTTAATAAGAAAGCTTTCTGTCACTTGTTACTACCTATTATAACGAGCAGATTTCTTCCTTCTCCCCTCCCAGCCCCCTTCGATGTTCAAGTCGAGCTACGAGGGATTCCGCGAAAAATCTTTCATTCTGCCGGCGACGAATCGGTGTTGAATAGGAAAAGCTCTTTCTATCTCTGTCTCTTAGTCCTCTCGGCCGCTGTCTACGACATCCAGAATTTGAACATATTCAGCTACGACTCATCGCTAGCGAATACCAAAGCTAATATGATCGGCACAGAAAGCTCTAATAGATAACCACTTAACAAAAAGTGTGCTGTAATCTTGTTTAAGCACCCACCGAAACCGCCAGCCTGTGCTCCACCGTCTCGTGGGAGGTAAATATCGCCAACCGTAGTAATGAAAACGTATAAAAGACAAATTTTCAGTGCATTCCACAGTAAAAGTATTTCAATAAGTGTTAACATTTGAAGTACAATAGCGTAGGAAGCTCAACCATTTCTTAGAAGAAATATTACGGTAAGGTTTAAGATAAATATAATAGCGTTTTACATGAATTCAGTACAAGCTAAGATGTGCTAAATTAAAATTTGGGTGAGGTTAAATAAGCACGTATAATCTCAAATTATTATTATTAAATTAAAGTCCACATTTACAGTTGCAGGCGAGATGCATTAGGCTTTATGGCTGTGTGAGTTCCGTCTGCTCGGGCGGGTGTGCGCGGGACTTGCGCGAGTGTGCCGGTGCACCTGGGCGGAGGCCGGCAGCCCCACGTGCCCGGGACCGGGACTCAGTCGCTAGTGAGCCGCCGCTGTCGCCTTACGCCGCTACTGGGCCCGCCGACAGCGACAGGTGGCGCCGACGCCCGCCGCCTGCGCGTTCCCTGCTAGCTCGCCTCGGCCCGCTAGCCGCCTCGACACAATAAATTTTATACGGTCGGCTCCAACATCCAACTTTAATATTGCCTCTCTTCCTTCACTATATCACATTGCAGTGTTAATCTGTTTTTTTGAGGCGATAATGTGTTTGTTTGTTTAATGTGATGTTCTCACGAAAATGCCATTAAAGTGTTATGGAATTTGAAAACTCCGTTCAAATTAAACGTTAGAAAGGTATGAAATTATGATGTTTTTTACTAATTATTTTTTTACGTAATATTTATGGTAAGTAAAATAGTTCTTTAGTAAAACATTCGATAAAAACTTTTACGTTATAACACTTGCTTTTTATGCGTTTTTTATTATTTTACGTTCATCTACTATTAATATGTATGATTAGATATATTTCTGAAAATATGTCCAATGGATGTAATTTAAGGAAATTGGTGACGCAAGCAATACCTATATTAAAGGTTAGTAAAATAATGAGGATTGTCTTTACCTAATTTAATTGTAAATTGATCTTTTTAATATTCTTGTGGATTATAGAAGTGTTGCAAACACTACAAGTCTTAGAGAACATTTTATTATTAGGGTATGAAATTTCGCTTTTAACTTTTTGTTGGGTAAATTTCGTGCTATCAGTTGCAAAAACATCATTTTGTTTGGAAATTCTCAGTCGTTATTGTCCCAAGATATATTTCATTCAGCAACCAAATTACAGTTTGAACGTCGATTAATTAGGTTATAAATCGTCAATTACTGTGTGTTTAATAGCTCGGTTTTCAGCTAACGATTATGATAAAAGGTATAATTATTTTTGATATGAGCAATATATCGGTAAAGTCTCCAACATATTATTATGTAGACATTTTCGAAACGTTTTTGGATAGCTACGGCGTAGCATTTACTAGCTAGCTTTAATCGATCAGAGCTTTAAATAACATACTTTATTATCCTTTATTATACTTTATTATACTTTATTATTATATTAAAAACTAGCGACCCGCCCTCGCTTCGCTTCGGAAACATTAAAACACACATGAAACCAAAAAAATAAAATAAAAAAAAATTAAAAAAAAGTAGCCTATGTTCATCAGGGACAATGTCGGCTTCTAATGGAAAAAGAATTTTTCAAATCGGTCCAGTAGTTTCGGAGCCTATTCGAAACAAACAAACAAACAAATCTTTCCTCTTTATAATATTAATATAAGTATAGAAGATCACATTAAAAATTCATAAAAATTAACATTGTAATTTGTATTGGACTTATAAAATACAGAATCAATAGATACCTACTTGATGAGAAGATAAAATATGATTTTACGACCGCAACAGCAACGAATATGAGGAAAAAATCAATTTAAACAAAATATATATAATGGAATATTATAACCGTCGCACAAATCCGGTGAACAACTCTCTTACACCCCGAGTCTGTTAGTTACTCTTGCAACCTTTGATGAGAACTTTCTCATTTACCTACTCGTTGCCTAAGCACGCTGCGTAGTTTTACAAAACTTAATTATACTTCTATGCATTGTGACTAATAATTTAATTACATATGAAAGATCGTTACACAAGCTCAAGAGTGTACTCGTATATGTTTCAATTGTTTTCCCGAGGGCATGATTTGTATTTAAAGAAAATTCATTATAACAAAACCATATTTTCCATACGAAAACAATTTACGAGATTATTTGTTTTAGATATTTTTTTAATATACCCATTTAATTTTAAGGTGTATGTTCAAAATCGTGTTTATGCTTAAACTTTCATTTTAGTTAATAAGGCTTCATAGTCATATAACATCAACAGATCTTTCTTAAATTTCACCAAAACTATTTAATCGTTTAATATAGTCATTTGTCAGTCAGTCCTTTTAGAAGTCGTCATGGCCTAAAGGATAAGACGCCCGGTGGATTCGTGTTTTTTTTTTATTGCCCTTGTAGGCAGACGAGCATACGGCCCACCTGATGGTGGGCTTCAGCAATGCCAGGGGCAGAGCCAAGCCGCTGCCTACCGTGTCTAGCGATCCAACGGTGTTCAAATCCCGCAGGCAAATACCAATTTTTCTAATGAAATACGGATTTACAAAAATGATCACGATTGATTTCCACGCTGAAGAAATAACATCGTGTACCTAATAGAAATCAAACCCGCAAAATTAAAAATAATATTTGTCATATACGGTGCATAGAATTTTCCAATCAACATAATGCATACCTACATATCTTAGGCATGTTTAAACATTTAAATTACGTACTTCAGTTTATAATTCTAATAATCCCATCATATGGTAAACAAACTTAAAAATTTTTCCAACAAAAAGAATATATTTCATGAATGTTAATTTTAGCTGGTGCAAATGTGAACGATCAAAATTCTCCAACATGGCTCTCATCTCCAATGGCAGTGTGGACCACCCAGGGCTTTATACTTGTAAATAATAATATGTACATTTTGACAGTATAACATATAACCGATTATTATATTTGTAGTTGTAATTCTTTAACATAATAAGATGTCGAAGCCTATCTATATATCCCTTTAGTTTTTAATGTCTACATTGCGAGAATGTATTGGTCTCTTAATTAGCAAAGCGAATACGCAAGAATAAAATAAAGAAAATAACTAAACAAAGAACGAAAAGAAAGTATATAAAACATTCGTTCACCGGAGTTACAAGTGGATAACAGGGTCTTGAAGCGGTTTAAAAATCCTTGACTTTGTCAAGTAAGTGGTTCACAAAGCTATGGCGCGCTCGCTACCCGTTACAGTACTTGATAATAATACATAATATGTGCGTATTATACTTCGAAGTTACTTGTTATGCCATGTTTTTAATTAATTAAAAAACGGCATTTAAGCCTTGTTTAAAAATAATCTGTATAAATAAATATGAAAACACATAAAAAACAATCTGATTTCAACTTGAATTTTTTCTATAAGATTATGCCCACTGCCAGACATTTATACTGGGCATTAACATCTTTATCATGCCTACATAATTGAGTTGGTTAAATAGTGGATATTTTATCACTTAACAAATATTAATGATTTTAATGGTTTCATCGATGACTACTCGCTAATTTATAATACATTGTAAATTACTGTGTGTTGTGAACTCAACGTTTATGAAGCAAATTACAAAATCATCCTATTTTTTTTACAAACCATTTCGTATTTTCTGGACTGCGTCTCTAAGGAGGATTCATTGGATTATAAGAATGCGGTACCATTAGCATCTAAGCTCTTAATTCCAAGCTGTGTTTAAGAGAAGGCGTTAACATTTTATTAACACATGTTTTTTTAAACATAATTAATTACATCTGCATACTAAAAAACTATACAATATATTTTGAGCTAGTTAGACACTCCAAAAAGGACATATTTTTAGCGTAAAACAACACAACCTTTAATAACGGAGACAATTTCTGCATTCGCTTGATTTACCGACATTAGGAATCGGAATCCAAAAAGTTGAAGCGAATTGAGTATTTTTTTTAATTTGAACATATTTTAAAACATACTTTGGGAGGTGTCTTTGTATGAGCAAAATAAAGTAAATTTAGAATTCGTTGAGCAGTGTTTTTAAACAGTATGTTATTGTGTATGCTTAGCAAACATAAGAAACATTTAGGTATTTTGAAAATGTAAAGTTCTGAATGTTTTTTTATGGCAATGCGGTCACTGAATTTATTATAATAATGAAGACTTAATCATACGTTATAGAAAATATGTTTTTTTTCTTTAATACGCTATGTTATCTTATTTTCAGGCAAAACTGTTGTTTTACAGTTAGTTTAATAGTTGCAAAGAATTCTTTACTATTGTAACTATATCAGGGAATTCTAATGTATGCTGTAAAATGTAAAAAAAATAATCACATTTAAATGTGTAAAATATTATTATGTCAACATAATGCCAATTCTAACTCTAGAAAAGAGACTTAAAACGTAATTTGGCATCCAAAACCTACTCAGCTTTCTCGATCTTGTTCTTAATCTTCTGAAATTTATTGCCGTTCACCTTATTTTGATATAAAATTCAAGTTATTTGTAATATTAGCGCAAAATATTACCCACCCTCTTTATCGACTTAGACTAAGAACTTCGTGCTTATGCTGCCGTCATAAAGGAACGAATCGGTACTAGCCGTTTCGTGTTCTGGCGATGCGCTACGCCAGTTCTACGTAGTATTAACGGAGAGCGAAGTAGGTGGGGCGGTACAAAAGTAGCAATTTATCAGGCGGCATTGAAGTAAACGAAAAACATACAAATAGATTTCTAGTTAGGTACTCCTTAATTTTTTTATGGCGGTGTCTTTTGTACGCCTTCATATTTCATCTTTTACAGCGATTTGTGGAACTATAAAAACTCTTCAGTGTTAAATCCTTAAGTAGGTATTTCTTATTGTTGCGTAGATGTCCGTCCATGTAGACGCACAGGTCACCTGGCAGTAGGTGATTAAATTGAAATAGACAAGGCGGTGATATCCACCCGTGCGAGCTCATAACACAACACGTCATCAAACCAACTATAAGCTGTGGGTATTAGAGACTGACAAGCATACTTATAAAAGTTTAAATATATAGCAAATAAATAACCAAAGAGCAAATAAATCTGTTCATCACACGAATGTTTGCGCGATGTGAAGAGTCAAACCCACAACCTTCGGCGCAACATTCAAAAGCGCTAAAAGATTTTTACGTAAGTTTCGTTCGCAGAAACTCAACGAAACACGGCATACTAGCACGGCGTCATGCACCAGAAGCCTTACACAGCCACAAAATCTTTAAACATTACCTATCTAATAAGAGCGTGTTAATATAGAGTACGTACACAGATATTTCAAGAGCCGGAAACTTGGATAAACTACATACATCTCAGACTTAAATTATTATTATTACGGGCAGTCAACAAGCTGGCAACAAATCAGTAAATTGTTCGTCAAGTTTTATTGCATGAAACGCAAAAAGCATCCATTAATAAAAAGTACTTCGAGAACGTAGTAGAGAGGGTTGTTTTTTACCATAGTTTCACCGCCACCGAAGCGGAGTTAATTGGTTTTATCTCTAGCACATTACGTTAAAGTTCTTTGCTGAATTCTTCAGTATACCGTACTATAGCATGTTTATTAGCTATAGTTAGCATATATATTCTTATAGCATGTTTTCTTGTAAACGAATTTTAAGGTGAGCTTTTGGGATTTGCTTCTCAGTTGATGAAGACTACAAATGCTAAAAATATTTAAACTTTGATTGTTCTTGTTTTTCGGGGACTTTCTTATTTGTCATTTTATAAGGGTGTCTCCTATAAAGTACGATATATACATATATATTGTACTATATTTAGCCTTTTTAATGGTCTTCACAGTTGTGGAAATTAGGCAAAAAAATCTGAAAGAGAATTCTTATATACAGATATAAGCGACGGACTTCAAATGACTTCGTCTTGTACGCTTATTTAGAGATCAAGAGACAACGTCCCCCTCATCCGCCAAGGGACAGCCTAGATGGTTCTGTACGCAATCGCAAATTTCTTTACTAACGTCTTTATAATGAGAAGATGAGAAGCTCTATAGAATTCTATAGATTGTATCCTATATAATATCTAAATATTTGCGACTAACACATTGGAAATAATGGCGATGTAATTTAAGTATTTACTATGATAGTGATTTCATGAACTGCTTTTACGATACACGCTGTATTTTCCTAAAGCTCATAATAACCTATTTGCGTAGAGATAAATATACGAATATACACGTAAACACGTGCCTGTAGCTAGATAGTGAAACGTAATGTGTTTGTCATTGGGTCGGTATTACTATGAATAAATAACTAGTTATTTTTGTTTTTAACTATCCCTACAGAATTTCTATCAGGTTTAAGTTTTTGGTTGGTCATGTATATTTAATTTGAAATTAAGGCTTTGTAAAAACGCAAGCACTAAGTAGACGCGAGTTTTTGTTTTTTTTTTGCATATATTAACCTTCTTTCTGTAGTTTTACAAATAAGAGATCAAACTTGCGTTGGACATTCGTTATGAATGTACAGTTCATCAACTGGTACCAGTGAAATGATATGAAACACCCACAGTACATCTACAGAACACTATTTAAGTGACAGCTGTACACGCCTTTTGCAATTGAACATAGTTTGAGATTTTTTCAGTAAAAATGAACTTTTAACGATATCCAAAACTTCAGCAATGAAGAATTTTAGCTAACATCTCTTATAAAAAGTTGTTAGATAAAAGACTTTTCCAAGATATTACAGAAAAAGTTTTTATTTTTTTTCTGTAACTTCTCGCACTATTACAACAAAGCAGAAGGGTAAGTAAAATAATAACGAACAAGATCGCACTGTCTACGGCACGTCACGTGTGCGAACATATTAAAACTTTATTACTACAAACCCTTAACATGAACTCTCACGAAAGAAGAAAATATTTAAGCACATTGTACACCGACCAACGAATGTTTGTGTTATGCGCTATCCGCATAAGAGTGAGCATGAAATCAGTATTTCATAAATTGGAATCGATGGTTATGAGTTCGCAAGTGCGTGACATACATTGTTGTTGCGTGAGTTCCCAGCTCGAGCTCATTCATCACGGCTCGTCGCGGTTTCGTGAATCTTATTGTTATGTTATTGTACTTACATTATTTTAGATCCTGAAACATATCTATGGAACGTAACGTAAATTCTATCTCATGATTTGCAAGCGAAGTAAATTGTCCCCTAGTAATAAGATGACACTCTACAAAACTTGCATACGTTCCAGTCATGATCTATGTAAGTGTAGTTAGTGTTCGCTCACGCGGCCCGCACTAGTTTGAAACCCCTTCAAGCCATTCAATCCCGTTTTTGCAGGATAGCCGTTGAAGCACCATGGTTCCTAAGGAATGTGAATTTCCATAATGACCTGGAGCTTGACTCAATCAGTATACAGTAGGCATTAATGCGCTACTTTGAGAAGGCGGCACGACACGAAAACCCTCTTGTCGTGGCCGCCGGAAATTACATACCAGATCCTGTGGACCGAATGGTAAACAGTCGACGTCGTCGCCCTAAGCACGTCATTACGGATCCTCTCGATCCGTTAACGGTGCTTTTAGATACCTCAAGCACCGGTTACCATCCTCACCGAGCCCGTCGCTTGCGACGTTGGATTCCACGACTAAATTAACCCATAGACACAGCCCACTGAGTTTCTCGTCGGAACTTCTCAGGGAGTCGCGATTCCGATCCGGTGGTAGATTCTGCGAAGCACTGCTCTTGCTAGGGCCAGTGTTAGCAACACTTTGAACCCCAAGAGCTCACGCTAGGGTAAAGCTAAAATAGCCCCTCAAGGCTATCAGCATAGGTAGGAAAAAAAATGTAAGGGGCTCAAAGTATTAGTCGTTAATTCCATGTGAAGCTTCATACCTTGAATAAAATAACGTTTTATTGAAATTTACCAACCAGCCTATAGCCATATTATCGGCAATTATTTCCACGACAATTTCGGAAATTGTTTTCATACATGTTTTAAATACACCAAAACTGACGGGAAAGGCTTTAAATTGTTAGAAAAACTGTCATAGAAGTTGCCTATTTTGTCGCTGACTAAAGCGTATGAGAAGCATTATATCGATTGAATCTCCGAGCGCTATTGATTAACATGTATAAATCTGAATTGGATATTTACATACATATTTGATGTAGATGCGAGATAAAACTTAACCAAGTATCTGAAATAATTTGTATTTTAGTATTTACTCATCGTACATAGACAAATATGCTTCATCACATTCGAGAGAAAAATTACTCTCAGACATCTCGCATAAGAGCATTGTCATTTGCTTGCCCTGATTAAATATGTTTTAATAAGTTAAAACGACGAATTTCTATTATTAATAGTAAGCATATAAAGGAAGAAAATCCACTGTAATTTAGTAATAATTTAAAATATTTAAACCAATTTTATGCTCATAAATTTTTAAATTTGTACAGTTTGGAAATCAGAATCGGGCCCTTATGGCTACGTTATATGTACAAGTGAACCTAGTATGAGAAACTCAATGAAAGTATCGCAGCAGATAATAGAATGATTATTTATTCTCATTAAATAATAAATAACATTATCTATTTCACCATGAGAGACTCCAGTGACGTACTAGTCTGCATAGAACACAATTTTAACAACAAAACAAACTTGGCGTCTCCCTCGCGCAGCCACGCCGTCGCTGTAGATAATAAATCCCGCATAGAGAAATTTTCCGGATATCATTTGTACAGATGTTTTGGCAAGCGTGACCCTTGTCAGTATTCGGGAGAAGGCCTGGCCACTACGAGATACAACTGAACGAATTCCCTCACTATTTCTGTAGTCCGCAACTCAGACCGCCAAATTAATTGTATTCGTCCCATAACCATTAAATATAGAGCAACCTGTTGTATTTTTACATTGTTGGTAACGACAATGATTCGCTATTGTTTTCTCTGTTACATTTATTATACTCGTAATAACTGCTGTTCATAATACAATAAAAAAAAACATTTCCTTTAAAAACAAAACAAACAGCTATCTATTATCTATTTACTGGTGGTAGGACCTCTTGTGAGTCAGCACGGGTAGGTACCAGCATCCCGCCTATTTCTACTGTGAAGCAGTAATGTGTTTCGGTTTGACGGGTGGGGCAGCCGTTGTAACTATACTGAGACCTTAGAACTTATATCTCAAGGTGTGTGGCGCATTTACGTTGTAGATGTCTATGGGTTCCAGTAACCACTTAACACCAGGTGGGCTATGAGCTCGTCCACACATCTAGGCAATAAAAAAAATATATATATTTATAAAGTTTTTGGTGGCATTTGCGCCTTCGATAAGAAATGACAATTCATTACATGAAGAAGTTTTTTCTAGGTTTTTTTTTAATACTATAACCCTATGAAAGAACTATGTCTATACCAGCTCAATAAAATTAGGTAACCAAATAAGTTTAACACTACGGATTAAAAAAAAATGGAAATTCATAAATAAAATTTTGGAATTGGAAACTGAATTTTGTTTTTTTTTTTGTTCTAGATAAAAGCTAAGTTACGGGTGTGTCGGGGAAGCATGTCGCGGCGATGACGTGGTGCGCCCGGCGCGGCATGCCCTGCTGACATGGCACGCAGCCGCTCCGCCCTGCTGACGCTAGCTACCATCACAGCATTTATTGGTGAGTCGTATTTTTTTTTGCTTAGATGGGTGGACGAGCTCACAGCCCACCAGGTATTAAGTGGTTACTGGAGCCCATAGACATCTACAACTTAAATGCGCCACCCATCTTGAGATATAAGTTCTAAGGTCTCAAGTATAGTTACAAGGGCTGCCCCACCCTTCAAACAGAAACGCATTACTACTTCACGGTAGAAATAGGCAAGGTGGTGATACCTACCCGCGCGGACTCAAGAGGTCCTACCACCAGTAATAACGGTTTTCTCGTCGATTACTCAAGCTTATTACCTAATCATTAATTTGACAATAATGAACAAAACATTTGACTATCAGCTCAAATTATATAGTTTGCCCTAATTATACCAATTCGTATCGTAATATCTGATAGCCTTGCCTTGACGAATAATCGCGAAGCCTGCATATAATGTAGTTATCTTAAAAAGTTATACAAAATAGTTTTCAGAATTTTACAATATTTGGGCTTAGACAATATTTGCTGCCTAAGTTTCTTAAAAATTGCAAAAAAGAGACTTAACTTCTTAACATCTTCACCAACTAGATAAGTATAATATATTTTCAGTTAAGTAATGGAAATTTAATAAAAACGAAGATTTCAGTCACAATTCCTTAGGCATTATTAGAATAACTAATATTGAAATATTTAGCCGTTAACTAAATATAAATAATAAATTGTTTACAATTCCCATAATAGTTTCTAATCTGTATATGCTTCCCTGAACTTAAATGGAGTGAGTAGACTAAAGGGTGTCTATTTGAATGGAGTCGATTGTAAACTACACTGTTGAATTATAGTGGAGGAAAACAATGGATGAATAATACGAATTGTTCTGTTAAGCTCGTTTCAAAGCTTCTGTCCTTCTGTCTTCCGTTTTCCTTGTTGGCCCGTAGTATCAACTATTCATGACACATTGAAAAGTACTTGTCTGCGAGAAGTGAAATGGATCGCCCTACGCTTATTTATTTCCAGAAATTAATGTTGATGCTTGAACGATGATTTTCGTAATTGTATCCATCTTAATTTGTTTAGTTTTGTAGTAGTAGTAGTAGTAAAGTTTTGTCTTAATAAACAAAATCGTTGTATAATATATAAAATTCAAATATGTTTGAGAGCTTTTCGGTTTCTTTGAAGTAGGCGGTAGGCCGCGGCTTGGCTCTGCCTCTGGCATTACTGAAGTCAATGGGCGACGGTAACCACTCATCATCAGGTAGGCCGTATGCTCGTCTGCTTGCAAAGGCAATAAAAAAAAAGTATGTAGTGGTCACCACGCTTTTACGTTTTCCTCCACAGCTCCGATTTTTTTTTAAGACTCGTGCGATGAACCGTTTGTTTGGTTAAGATAATCCTACACCGAATTGAATGGGCGCTCTATTTTTAAATTAATATTCTAAAATTTGACCAAATATTCTAAAAGATCAAATAGAGAAAATACGAATGTCTCAACACAACAGTTGCTGTGGCTAATACAATGCACGTAAAATATGTATGACAAGGAAAACAAATTTTAGTACAATAAAACACGTGACGGCCACGCACACAAAAATTATTAGGGGATATGCATAATTAGGCTTTAACAGAGGCGCTCGCTGGTGGTTACTAGCAAGGAACCGAATTTCACGATTGCGATGTGTCTACGCCCTAATGTCATTCGAAGCAGGCCTAATCTCGGCAGTCCATATTGGAGGTACAGTCTGGGTGTATGCCCGATCCTTTGTTCGAGGTATTTAACTCGATCTTCAAAAACTGAATGAATTGCAACGCATCCCTATCCAACAGGTGTAGGCGCAGAATTAAACAATTAATGTTGTACTTTTTACACAATACATTTTATATTCGAGTGACCTAGTGGCTAGTAAGATAAGCAATACAAAAAAATATTTCTCAACAAAAATGTATACATTCAATTTTCTTTAACATCATGTTGTACTCGGAAATGAAAATATTGTATATACTATATGTATATAGTACAATTTAATAAAGGCAATTACTCAAATAATTAAAATGGTCTTACAAACTTTCAAATTCACGCCGACATTACGTCAATCTATCATTGATTGATCGTTGTTTTCGACACACTCCGATGAACTTTGAATCTCTCCTCTTCGTGTACAATTTCTGAAAGCACAAAGTTATGGAGATTACGAACTGCTGAATATAGTAACATGATCGCAGACTGAACAATAAAGATTTTCATCGAACAATTCGATAATGCTTTTGCAAATTTTGAATCAAGAAATAACGAATTCAAAACCATGTTTATAGCTGTTTTTGTTTTACTGAAATGTGTTTTTTTTTGTTGCTTAGATGGGTGGTCGAGCTCACAGCCCACCTGGTGTTAAGTGGTTACTGGAGCCCATAGACATCTACAACGTAAATGCGCCACCCACCTAGAGATATAAGTTCTAAGGTCTTAAGTATAGTTACAACGACTGCCCCACCCTTCAAACCGAAACGCATTACTGCTTCACGGCAGAAATAGGCAGGGTGGTGGTACCTACCCGCGCGGACTAACAAGAGGTCCTACCACCAGTAAAAAAGTCTAGGTAATAAAAAAATAAAAATATGAAACCCGTGGCGGAAATTACAATTTTAATCCAGTTTCATTTAAATTCCCTTTCACGAAAGTGACGTCACAGTAACTAGAGCTGAGAAAGGATCCCTTTACATAGGTCGGTTTAAATTTTTAACGTAATTCGGAAGGCGAAGTAAGTGAGTACATTTTGTTTAAACAGGGTGTTGTGTGTGCGCGCCGCAAGGCAGCGTGCAGGGCGGCGTGCAGGGCGGCGCGCAGGTCCCCCCCGGGGTACCACACTCCACCTCGCCGCCCGCCGGCATCGGCGGCGTCCGAAGGTACGTTCAAACGATTATCTTACTTATTCTTTTTTAATGTCCCACTTAACGTCACATATGAGCCAAACCCCTAATTTAATAACATACGACCGAATGGTATAAATAACATGTCATTAGAATATTAAATTGACTGTTAACATATAGGTGTCGTAATAACGTCACTCAAACAAATAATTCTGACTGCTTCCAATTAACTGTTTGTACTGTATTGATGATGTGTGTTATTTTAATTTTTAAGACTAAAATGTCACCCTAGAATAATAAAATACCTACTTACCTATTTATCAAAAAACGGGCAAAGACAAAATAGTCAAGTATCATTTTCTCCTGTGTGTTTTAAAGGGGTTTTCTTTTTTCTTGTGACTTTAGTGTATGTGACGGTAGGCAGCAGCTTGGCTTTGCACCTGGCATTGCTGAAGTCCATGGGCGACGGTAACCACTCACTATCAGGTGGGCCGTATGATCGTCTGCCTACAAGGGCAATAAAAGAAAATGTAATCAACAGCAAAAATTTGACATGGTCAGTTCATTATCCTCAAAATGTCAATAATACAAAATAAATTGCGGGGCAAAATACTGAATTTATAAAAACCAATAAACGTTTAAAGATGGAATACAGCTGTTTAGAAATGCTGTCATGACGTCGCAGCCTAAGCTAAGCATAAACTAAGGCTAAACTCCCAGAAGAAGCAAAACTGAGAGCTTCAATTAGTAAAACTACTGAAATACTAACGCTTCATTGTGACTAATGACAATTGTATGAAAATTCTCCTAAGAACATACCTCAAATGTATTAAAAAAAACTCATACTGGCCTTGTCCTGACAATTAAGAACTAAAGAACTCCGGCAAATCTGTCGAGTCATTCTCAGTAATGCTTCGTCACGTAATTGCAATCCGGCCGGAAATTTATAAAAAATATATTATGTAAATACAGTATCGTTTTATCTGAAATATATGTACTACTTGGTCAAGGAAGAACCGGGAAAATACACAAAATGTTTATTATTCATCAAAATTTATTCTATCACCTTCACAGTATGCTGCTTCAGAAACGATACATTTACCAACGAATAATCCAAAAGCCAAATTATTTTTAAACGCTTTTCCGGAATTGAGTTCTGTTCTCGCCGCGAATTCTTCTTTATGTCTTTTACCGAATGAAAACGGGTGCCGCGAAATAGTAATTTGAGTTCAGGAAAAAGAATAAAAGTCGGTCGATGGTATTTATTGTGCTTTTGGTTTGCTAACAAAATTTGCTAACAATGATGGCCTTGTGCGAAGGTGCATTTTCGTGGTGCAAATTCCTACAATTTTCTTTCCACAAATCTGGCCTTTTTCGTCGCATTTGCTCTATTTAATGCTCCATAACGCTCAAATAATATTTTTTATTTACCCTTTGAACTTCCGGTAAGGATTCCGAGTGTACAACACCGCTATAGTCAAAGATTCGTTCTAGCATGACCGCGCCGACTCTTATGCCATTGTGACTTTCGAGAAATTTCAGGTCTTTTGAGGCTAGTCGTGTGGCAAGATGTTTCATACCCAAGTGATCATTTAAAAGCGCCCTACCCTTTTAAATAATCGACTTGTGAGACACAGAAAGCTCGGTGACTATCTCTCTCAAACTATAATGAGGATTTTCATTTACTATTTCCTTCCTTTTTGCGATGTTAACTTTAGTTGCAGACGTTAATGTCTCACCAGAGCGAGGCAAATGTTCCATCACGTCTCGATCGCTTTTGAATGCTTTCTACTACTCATACACGTGCTGTGTTTGGATAAAGTCAATTTACCGTGAGCTTTCTATAACGTTGTCGGTGAGTCCGAACACGAAATTCCATCGGCTATCTAAAAATCAAGGCAAACTCTATGAAATTCGCAAGATATAACGAAAAAAGCATTGTATTGTATAAGAGAACAGGTATACGGGTGGCAACTCAAACTCTGCACAAAATGTAAAACAGCTGTGCCAAGCACATATATACGGGATGCAACTCAAATTCTGCGTCAAAATGTAAAACAGCTGTGCCAATCTAACAACAACAAAAAAAATGAGTTTGGAACCACAAACAAATCATCTATTCCCGATACTGTTTTCATTGAATTTCTATACAGTATTGTTGTAAATAATAAGCACGATAGGCAGGTGTACGTTCGAATACCAAAGCATAGTATCAAAAAAAAGCTATTTTTTTACATAATGAACATTCGAATATTGGAACACTGGAAACTAAGTTTGACAAACACTTTGACAAAAGTTTAATGTCAACGTTTCAAACCAAAAAAATTTTATTAAAAAATGTGTGTTAATAGGACTAAAGCCAGGTCCGTTGTTACGAAAATCCGGTAATATATTCTTCAAATAATACGTACGTAATACGTAATAATACAAATTTAATTTATGTATTTTTAATGTTTTAATCGATTGTTTAATATAGAATCCTGAGATTATCAAAAGGACTTGCCTTTGATAGTCTCAGGCGTTTATGGTATTATACAATTCAATGACCTGCATAGTAATTCAGATACAACTTAAAATTATTGAGAGCAACGGCTCTGTGAAAGAGAAATGCGTAAATGATTGATCATTGACTATTAATGTTAATTGAAATAGAGGAATATAACTTAAATAATTGAATAAGGTACAAAATACACTAGCTACGTTATAACATCTATTTAGAATGCGGTTCTCGGAATAAAATAATTGTATTTAAAATAAGAGTTCATCTTGTATCGGATCCAAACGTTGCTTTGTAAAATAAAGGAGATAAAAATTTCCGATGCCCGTAATCGTGGACAGATAAAATCTAACCCAAGAATAGGTTTTCAGCATCAAAAATGTTACCATGTACTGACAAAAAAAGATGATTTTACATAATAAAATTGCTCCAACGAAAAAAGATTCAAACATATTTTAATGAAATGGAGATCTGGGTTCAGTTATCTGAATATTTTCAATTCAAATAATAATTGTTCGTAGTATTTCAACTAAATTTTGGAACAATCATAAAGCAAATGTTAGTTAAAAATAAAAGTTACAAGTCACAAGTAAAATTTATTAAGCTAGAATTAAATTAATTTCAATACTAAACTGGCTGTAATAAAACAAAAAATGCAGTGTTTGATGTCTAAATAATTTCAAAACATCCTTTCTTTTCTTCATTTCGATTCCATTGAAGTTTGTCACATTAATTTAATAAATGAAATAAAATAAGTTTTGACAATGGGCACGGGAACTTTATTAATTCGTCAACATGAGTACCAACGTACTTTAATTATTTATATAATGATATTGGGTACTCCAGAATAAATAAACAATAAAAGACTTAATTGCGTTTTCTGTTATGTGTATAATGAGAAAACAACATTTAAAGCCCTTAATTTAATAAAATTATTATTTTTAACAAACTGAACTTTCTTTTTACTGAATGTCAAACTTCACTGAATGACTGAATGACACTGAATGACATATAAGAAAAATCCTTTTTATAAAACCAAAGAGTTTTAGACTATGAAGGTTTTTCTTTACATTTATAAGACCGTTGCTAGTATAAGGCCCATATTCTCGTAGCGACCGCGATGACTTTTTTCGATATAGCGAAGGCGTTCGACAAAGTCTGGCACAACGGTTTGATATACAAACTGTATAACATGGGAGTGCCAGACAGACTCGTGCTCATCATACGAGACTACTTGTCGAACCGTTCGTTCCGATATCGAGTCGAGGGAACGCGTTCCCGGCCCCGTCACGTCACAGCCGGAGTCCCGCAAGGCTCCGCCCTCTCCCCNGTTTATGGTATTATACAATTCAATGACCCGCATAGTAATTCAGATACAACTTAAAATTATTAAGAGCAACGGCTCTGTGAAAGAGAAATGCGTAAATGATTGATCATTGTCTATTAATGTTAATTGAAATAGAGGAATATAACTTAAATAATTAAATAAGGTGCAAAATACACTAGCTACGTTATAACATATATTTAGAATGCGGTTCTCGGAATAACATAAATGTATTTAAAATAAGAGTTCATCTTGTATCGGATCCAAACGTTGCTTTGTAAAATAAAGGAGATAAAAATTTCCGATGCCCGTAATCGTGGACAGATAAAATCTAACCCAAGGATAGGTTTTCAGCATCAAAAATGTTACCATGTACTGACAAAAAAAAGATGACTTTACATAATAAAATTGCTCCAACGAAAAAAGATTCAAACATATTTTAATGAAATGGAGATCTGGGTCCAGTTATCTGAATATTTTCAATTCAAATAAAAATTGTTCGTAGTATTTCAACAAAATTTTGGAACAATCCTAAAGCAAACGTTAGTTAAAAATAAAAGTTACAAGTCACAAGTAAAATTTATTAAATTAGTTTCAATACGAAACTGGATGTAATAAAACAAAAAATGCAGTGTTTGATGTCTAAATAATTTCAAAAAATCCTTTCTTTTCTTCATTTCGATTCCATTGAAGTTTGTCACATTAATTTAATAAATGAAATAAAATAAGTTTTGACAATGGGCACGGGAACTTTATTAATTCGTTAACATGAGTACCAACGTACTTTAAGTATTTATATAATGATATTGGGTACTCCAGAATAAATAAACAATAAAAGACTTAATTGCGTTTTCTGTTATGTGTATAATGAGAAAACAACATTTAAAGCCCTTAATTTAATAAAATTATTATTTTTAACAAACTGAACTTTCTTTTTACTGAATGTCAAACTTCACTGAATGACATATAAGAAAAATCCTTTTTATAAAACTAAAGAGTTTTAGACTATGAAGGTCTTTACATTTATAAGACCGTTGCCAGTATAAGGCCCATATTCTCGTAGCGACCGCGATAGCTTTTCGCAAGAAACTGTATAAAGCGAAACCTTTCATATTCATCATCTACGCTCGAATTTGCCTGCTGTATAAATAAAACGCGTCACTCGTGTACCTTATTCCTGACTTTCGTGAAATGGACATTAAACTATCATTAGTAAAACAGATTTCTAAGAAATATAAATCTCATTCATATAAATAGGTGTTGAGACTTGCTTGACATTTGCTCAAATTAGTCCTAATCTCGTGGAATTGTTTCATGAATTCTATTTCTGTGGCGAAGCAGTCATGTGTTCCGATTTGAAGGATGGGAAAACCGTTGTACAAATATAATGATGTGGAATATTCTAAAAGTGATTAAACAATAACAAAATACTTAATTTCGTTTTCTGTCAAAAAAATTTTTTTTTATTGCTTACATGGGTGGACGAGCTCACAGCCCACCTGGTGTTAAGTGGTTACTGGAGCCCATAGACATCTACGACGTAAATGCGCCACCCACCTTGAGATATAAGTTCTAAGGTCTCATGTTTTTAGTTACAACGGCTACCCCACCCTTCAAACCGAAACGCATTACTGCTTCACGGCTGAAATAGGCAGGGTGATGGTACCCACCCGCGCGGACTCACAAGAGGTCCTACCACCAGTAATTACGCAATTTATAATTTTGCGGATTTCATTTTTATTACACGATGTTATTCCTTCACCGTGGAAGTCAATCGTAAACATTTGTTGAGTACGTATTTCATTAGAAAAATTGGTACCCGCCAGAGATTCGAACACCGGTTCATCGGTCAACACGAATGCACCGGACGTCTTATCCGTTAGGCCACGACGACTTCAGATATTAATAGAAAAACATTTAAAGCCTTTATTTTCCTCAAATTATTTTACATAATAGTCTTGAATTGAATAAAACTGAACTCGTCTGTTTTCTCAATGACAGAGAGTTCAGTCAATTTACCTAGTCAGGTCATAAATTCTGTCACATGTTTAATGTAAAATAATTGAAACAAGTTTATTCATTATGTAACCATTCATATACCGAAATGAACTTAACAAAACATAGATTCTTATGACACTAAAGTTAATTCAAAATGACCTCCGTGATTTTGAATACGGGCCTTCAATCTGCGCGGCCAGTCGTCTATCGCAGCACGAACGAAGTCCATGTCAATATCGGCGGCTGCCTTAATCAAGGATGTCTTGAGTGACTCCAAATTGGGATGAGGCTTTGAGCACGCCTTTTCCTCCAAGTGTTGCCATATCTTGTAATCTAACGGATTAAAATCTGGACTGGAGGAGGGCCAGTCTTCGTGCCGGATGAAGTCGATTTCACGCGCCGCCAGCCAGTCTTGTGTGCTCNATAACCTATTTTCATATATACGATATAATAAGCACGATCACTTTTGAACGACGCTATCATTTCAGATATCCAGACGTAGATCGTTAATTTAAATATGAATATAATCAACCATAACAGCCTTATCTTTTTGTGATATTAGCTATCGTTCAAGTTAAAATGAGAATCCCCCACACAAACGACTACTATACTAATTTACATGAAATTATTTTTGTCCATTAATATATCATTCATACATTAATAAAAATTATCAATTATTTTCTAAGTAAAATATTTCATCATTACATGTACTGAATATTTTACTATCTGCAACATAACCGGTGAGACGAGATATTTACAGTAAGTAATTTACTAATTTACAAAAAGTTTTTTCAATAAATAGGAGCTAAACCCGAAATGAATAAGCCATCGAATGTGGCCGATGGATGAATTAGATTACGCTGCATGATAGAAACATTTTATTGATTAACATTGATTGATATGCACGTTTTACACATGAGTAGTCATTGCGATAATTACCGGAATATTTTAACCTTACTTACAGTTATACAGTTGTATAAAAGAAATAAAAAAAATACATCAATTTAGAACAATTCCATTTATGTAAGCGTTAGATTTTGTTCTGAATAACTTAGTAGAAGTATTATTATCCCGTTACATCTATGAAATTAAAAACGTGAATTTACATTAAGAATATTATACTCTACAAGTTTTTATAATACTTTCAAAGTACATAAATCGTACAGAGCTGCGAAATTGAATTGTTTTGTAAAACAAAACATCTCATAAGCGAGCAGCTTGATTTCTTAAATTAATGGTTTTTAACTGTATCAACTGGAATGTTTTGTGTATAACTTTTGATTCGCTTTCGTATACATATATATTTCTCACCACGGTAGTTTAATTGCATTAGCATGTGTAATTAGCACAAGCAGTAACTTTTCAAAATTGAATGTACCAACAATTCAATTTCGCTTTTTTGCTAAAAATAATGTTTTTAATGTCCAATTTATGTGGATGAATGCTTCAGCTTTGATGGCTTGGCCACATGCCTTTTCTGGGATTGAATAATCCTAAAGAGTTACCACTATGATATAATGTTATCCTTTGGTGTATACATTTCAGGATTCCCTATCGTATATCTGCCTCAATAACGTAATTAATTTTATGACATCGTAAACTAGAGAACTTCTGCTATAATTAAAAGGAAAACGCAACATCATTACAAATTATTGCTTTAATGCGGTCGTGTTTGTACGCAGATTCAGCCAATATTCCAGAGGGAGAGGGTATCGTGACTGGCGAACGCGAGGAGATCCAACTCTCATCAATTCACTTTGGCGCAGCCGACAGCCACTTGGCATTCGAAAGCAATTGGGTTAGAACATCATCAAAATCTTAAAATTTATATTCAGTGTCACATAATTAAAGATTGCTCTTGGAAGATGCTATAGATTATTAATCCGCGTTGTGGTGGTATAAATGGTTTCGGTAATATCTTACTATATACTCTAATAAAACTAATAATGAACACCAAAAACAATTCAATTACAATTACAATACTATTTAGCAGTAGGCAGCGGCTTAGCTCTGCCCCTGGCATTGCTGAAGTCCATGGGCGACGGTAACCACTCACCATCAAGTGGGCCGTATGCTCGTCTGCCTACAAGGGCAATAAAAAAAAACGTTCAGATTTCATTAATTGTTTTATTTTTGTATCGCACAGGAAACGCGGAAGTTTATATAATATTGGCCCTCCTGATCGGGTTCGTGACCGTGGTGGTGGGGTGCTGGCTATCGGACAACTGCTGGTCGCCGGAGCCGGAGGACGCGCTGGCTGGCGGCTGACCCGTGGCGGCGGGCGCGTGCACGCACGTGTAGCGCCCGCCGTCCGCACCCGTCGACAGGGAGAGTCCGTTGGGCGCGGGCTCACTGTCGCCGGTGTTGCCGCCGCGCGCTCCGACATTACTGCACGCCGCCCGTCACTTCTGTCAAGAAACCTGTCCGAGCTTCGTCTGTGACGGGAGACATAGACCTACAGTTTTCTGACCGGAGCACACGCATCACTCTTGTCGTGTTCACGAAAAGACTAACGGAAACCACATTTCCACAGTAACAAACGGTAGAGTGTGCGATAATTGATTAATAAATAAATAAAAAACTCGGAAATATTCAGCGTTTCGTAAACAATTGCAACGCTTTCTGATGTATATTGTGGTTGTGTATTTATTCGGATGAATTTTTAAACTCTAATATAACTTCGTACGTATATTAGTAAAAATGGTGATAAAGTGCAGGTAAGCATTTGTGAAGAACTTTAAGAGCTTTGATTTAGATTTTTACCCTCTAGTCAAATGTCGTTCGAAATGTGCATGTAATATTTAATGGAAGTTATTATGAAATATGTTACAATGGGTCCACCTGGCCGCGCCTAGATCGCTGACCTAGGGATTACGAACTTGTAATTATTAAAGGCTCGTTGTGTAACTAAATCGTTTAGTCGTAGACTTTGCTTCTAGTAATTGCTCTTACATGAACTCATTCGATCTTACATACCTTAAGCGTGGTGCACATGTACTTCTTTGTACCGATACTATTTTTTCTAAAAGTATGTGCCTTGAAAATTATATGCTTTCCTCGATTTGAATTGTAGTTTAGAAAGTGTTTTGAACCATTTAGAGAAAACTCTTATCTCTGTCTGTTCTACGGACAAGTAATCCCGTAAGTGCAATACACATCATAACCGTGCCTTTACCGTTCTATAGACTTTGAGAGGGACGTAATTAACAATAGGTTTTAACGAGTGCTCTTCACTCTTTGGGAGGCACCAGACCTGTCAAGCATTCTTTCACAAAGTGTCCTGCTTCTTCCATAATTTCATTTTAATATTAAGATGCAGTATAATCATCATAAATAAAAAAAAGAGCTAGGACCAAACGACTTTAATATTAACGTCAATTGAATTTGTAGAAATATTCAAAATCACTATCACAATAGAATAAGCACTAACACTGAAAGACAACGACATTCGAATATTAATAATAACGCTAACTGTAATGTCAAAATATTATTTGCTAGAAAGAAGAAGTCGTTTCAGTTATCAGTACACAAATTCAAATTATTGAGTCATGCTAGAATCAGATTTATCTGACAAAAAACTTTTACTAATTTTAATAGTTTGTTTATTTTTCATTAATAAACTTGTATATTTTCTGGTACGGGTCCTAAGCAAAAGCCCGACTTCTGCTAATTTATTCTACATATTTTGACTTTCACTTTTACAGCAAACTGTCAACCCTAGTCTTATAGCTTTTGTAAGGGCTCTGTAGATAATTAATAGAAGCGAACTGTAATTTTGCGCGTTTGTAATTTTGTGTACTGTACATGTATTGAATATTTGGTAAAACAGAGATTCATTGAGAGAGTATGCCAGAATTTTCTTACCATTCCATACATAAGAAAAGATTGTCTACGAAAATATAAACTAAATCCGCCTACAGGAAATATTTGTTCTTTTGCTTTGAAAAGTAGAACTCTATTTATTAATTTGTGCTTATACGGCATCAATCCATTGCAGATTTAGTCACAGTAAAAACATGACGATAAATTGTAACTCGAAAGCTTTGTACATGTGTATTTTGTAATTAATTTTACGAGCAAAAAATCTCTAAAATTTGTTGTGCAAAAGTATTGTTAAGAAAAAAGTTCGATGATCAACATTACGCAACCAACGATTTGAAAAAATTTGTAAGAAGTGCAAAATTCGCATATGCACACACTGGTTAAGTTTGAGGTTTAACATAAATAAAGAATTCCATGAATTAATGTGATAAAAGTAGCAAAAGTTTTTGTTTTTATCTTGTTATTAATTCGGATCTCGAATCAAGCAACCAAAAATAATTTTATGTATTTCCTTATTTACTTATTTCAACAAAAAGACGAATATTTTCCTTCCTCAAACATCCTATCTCTCCAACTCGTACAATAGTAAACATGTCTTGTGTTTATAAAAATGAAATGTAAAAACAGGATCCAATTTAACATCGTCATGCATTACATACGCTCAATGTTTTAGAATTTGATTAAATTTTGTAGATGTGATTATTTTATTCAAGTGTTGTTCGTGTCACATATTCGTGCGCATATGCGTACCCTTTGTAGGAATACGTTAAAATACTTAGAAAAATATAAGCTTAGATATTGGGTTATAAGACACCGGTGATTCATTTCCAATTTGAAACTTCAAATCATTGGGATTTGAAGTTTCAAAGTGGGTGTGAGTGGAGGCAAAACCATATAAGTATTATAAAAAATGATTTTCTTACATTTTGTATTTAAAAAAAAAAGTGTCAAGTGTTACATACCAAAGTATAAAGACTATTAAGCCCCACGAGATTGTGGATTATAGTATGTCTTCATCTTAAGATAAATCACTTTGTTAACCGATAAAATTAGTGAAGTTTTTGTAAATTTAAGGAACCCGACTGAATAGTCAAAGTTTTTTAAGTATTGTGTAAATTTATATATAGCTAGGTGAATATTCTATGTCACGTAGGTACACGGGCATCATACTTTAATATTGTGCGAAACAATATGTTACAATTAGCATTGTAACATAAAACGTAACACAAGCGAATGCAATTGTTTAATTTTTGATAGTTTTTATGATACAATAAAGCTAATTAAATTGAGCAATAGAATTAATTGTATTATGAAATTGCTAAAGTACTTTTGTCATATTTTTTTCTATGTTTGTACGGTATTTTAATAGACTTTTCATAGCTGTGTTATTCTATGCGCTTTTTGCTTATTTGCAACATTATTTTACTGTTTATTCCGATAGAATCTATAGACATTTGTAAATATTCAACTACTAAAAACTTTCACTAAAATAATAAAATTAAATAATAAAACTATTTTTTTTTTATGTTCCTCGTTCAGTTAATATTTTATGGCACACGTCACAATACTGAGCTACAAAAATCATTACACATTGTAAATGAGCCTGATAAGACCTTCAATGATTTTAATACTATTTAATAACGAATTATATTTTTATGCTTTATCACTTTCTATTATCAGTGCGATGTTTCAAGCCCATTAAATTTAACTGACTCCGCGTAATTTTCATTCAATGCTCGTAGATTTTCAAGTTCTATAATTAAATCTAATACATAATTACCGTCACACAGCTTTAAGTTTAATGCTAAAAATAGACTACACATTTTTATTATTCTGAAACAAATTTCCTAATGAACAAATGGGTATTCATTTAATTGTAACAATAAATTTGCTTTAATTGTAACAAAAAAAAGTTGCTTATTCGGAGAATATAAAAAAAATAATACTTTTATTGAAAATAAAAACATAAAGAAAGAAACTGAGAAGTTGTTCGCATGGGACTTTGAGAGACTTTGATAATATCTGTCCTAGCAAGAGCGGTGCTTCGCTGAATCTACCACCAAATAGAAATTTACACCCACTGAGAAGATTTGGTAAGAAACTCAGTAGGTTAAATTGTTATTACTAAATAAATATTAAAAGCTTAAACAAATAAATCCAATTATTTTCATCGTCCAATCGTCAACGAAATCCATTTTTTCTATTAATTTTTTATGAGGTAATCAAATTAAATGCAGTAATTTTAAACATTTAAAGGTATTTTAAAACGCTCATTTGTAAATAACTATAGAAAATATATTGAAAATGAAAGTCTGGCTTGGCTCATTTAGGAATTGAAAGAAAACATAAGCTCAAACATATTTAACATAAATATGCTATTATATGAATTATATGTATAATATGTATGTCATTTGTCACGAATAAATTAATATATGTACTTAATAATATCAATACGAAAAAAACTGTGTTTGATTTAAAAAACTGTCTGAATAATGCGAAAGAAATAAACAAATCTTTTACGTTTTCAAAAAAAATCACAGGTAAGTTGGCTTAAACGCGAGGAATATGCCTGCTGATTGGGCATTATAGCTGTTAAAAAGACATTACCTATGCAATCATTTTTAATGAAAGTAATTTAAAACGAATTTACTAAGATACTTCCCAAATAAAATTAGTTTCATTTTGATAAAATAGTCAAGTGTCTCTTGATTATTATTAAAAGTGTTCGCCGATGATCTATCATAAATTCGACCACAATCGCTGACTGACACCTCATGATTTAGATTAATTTTATTACATGTGTTAATTTTTTTCTATCATTGTCATTGATACTATAAACATTTTGCTATTAATTGTGCCCATTTTTCATTTTTTGATTACTTACACTAACGCGCATCAATACCAACTAAACAAGAAATGAAAATATATTGGCAAACAGAAGATAACTGGTACTTAACTCAGAAAAAGAAAGAAAGAAAAATAAGAAGGAAAAAGACTTTCTAAAGTTTTTACGGGTGACACTAAAGCACGTCAATACCTATAATAATAACAGAAGAACAAAATACAGACGAGAAAATAGTTCTGTTTTGATTTTTATGTTTATATGATGCAATTACGAAGAAAGACATTATTACGGCGAATTTGTGATCTCTTAAATGATAGTGCTATATTGACTATGTAATTCAATTAGGAAAGTTCAAAGGCCTAATTTGAGTGGGAGTCACTGCCAATTGGGATTTGATCACCATACATATGTATACCAAACATAATCTATCTATGCAAATATCCATTGGAAGCGAACCAATGCGACAGAGCTTAACGTTTAACGCGACGTGTGGATATGAGACAGAGATTGCTGGCATTCACCCGGCACGACGCAGAGCCCGCTCCGTTGATTGATCGTATCATTAGTGGCACATGATCAACGTCAGTTATTATGCGTTCTTATTAATAAACAACAGAAACTATGGACTGTATTGTAGTATAACCGTGTCTTCATCATCATCATCATCTCAGCCTGTCTACTGTCCACTGCTGAACATAGGCCTCTTCAATTGATGTCAAGTGCGGCCGGTCCGATGCCACCTGCATCCAACGTGACCAACAATTTTCACCAGGTCCGTCGGTCGGACGGTAGGTGGCCGTCCCACACTGCGTTTGCCAGTACGTGGTCTCCACTCGAAGATCTTTCTGCCCCATCAGCCGTCTGGTCTTCGCGCTATGTGACCTGCCCACTGCCACTTCAGCTTGCTAATCCTACGGGCTATGTCAGCAACTTTGGTTCTTCTACGGATCTCCTCAACCGTGTCTTATAATGCCATAAATATAGAAAACGAGGTGATCACTTTTCCCCTACGTATTGCTATTAATCTCGAGGGGTTACGCTAGCTTCACCGAAAGTGTAGGTGATCTCACGGGGCTCATCTTCGGAGACTGCTATCTACCACTGGATTAGAATCGCGACTCACAGAGAAGAGCCTCCGAAAAACTCAGTGGGCTGTGTCCCTGGGTTAAGTTGTGCAACGAATCGAGGTGATCACGAGAAACAAGCATCGTTTTTTAATTATTCGGAGTAAATAAATTGACCCCGAAGTTCACCTTAAGTATCCTCGGTTGTAAAAAAATGAGGTATTATTGTTAAACATATCTCTAGGTTCCACCGTCGTACGGGAATGAGTTAAAATGTATATTTTCAAAGTCTAATCACAAACTACTGAAAAAGAATTTGCATGAAAATATAATTCTATCGTGAGCTCATCGGCATCACAAACAGCATGCTTAGTGCGAGTTTCTTAACGTTAGCGTACGAGCTAGCCCAATTTTGTATGCAGATGGAGGAACAGCACCCCTCGCGGCAAACGTAGGCAAACGATCCCATTCCATACAAATATGAGCTAACTTTTACGCTATCGAGAACGTTAAAAAACTCGCACTATAACGCTATCGCCCAAAGTGAAACATGAAGTCAAAAATTCAATCGTGCTAGTAAAAAGAAAGAAAAGGCACATCGAAGGAACCGGTATGTATTTATCCTTCGCACAGGAATTGGAAAAGTGGTCGCACCTACCGAGTGAGCTTACTATACCCCTACCTGAAGACGCGCTCTGCCAGGGCGAATGCTCATATCGTGCGACGCTTGAACGAACACACTCATATAACACACAGACAAGTATATCTCGCACAAGATTTTGTTTTA